CAAACAGTTTTGAGATAATGACGAGGATTTTGTCAGAATTAGTGATCATGAAATGTTCTGAAATATCTGATAGCGGAAATCCTAAAAACTGAGTGCAATTCTTGTTTATAATTAGGTTAAATTGCAATAGTGTCAGTTTTTTTACATTGAGATACTTTTATTTTCATTTTATTTTTGTAAAACAATATATTTTCAAATGTAAGAAAAACGTTTCGCTTGTGAATTTTGGGATTTGTCTCATTTTTTATTAATAGTTTTTAATTGACCTGATTTTAGATTAAGAAAATTACACCTGATATAAACAGATATTGATATATATGTTCCTATCGTTAATTTTATACAACACAGCATTTTTTTAAATTAAAATAATAGTTTGAAAAAAAATATTATAAATATATCATGTTCACTATTTTATCACCATTCCAAAATGCATGGGTCCATGGGACTCACGACTATAGAAGCGTTATTTTTTTCCACGACTAAAGTTAAGGGTTAACTATAAGTTAGTGAGGTAATTATGTAAGTACAAAACTTTAACAGAAAATTGACACGCTATTTTGTCAAACTGTTGCTTCTAAATCGTGTCAAAATCGTATTAAATTTGAATAGTTAGTATCTAAAATAGGGTTAAATTAAATTTGTATACAGGACAAAGTTCAGCAACTATCTTCCTGATACCGCAATTCAGTCACGAGATCAACGCCACTTGGGTAATTGATGTATTACGGCACAATAATGACGATGTCTATGACTCATTGTATATTAATTATTACTAAATAAGTACAAAAAGAAGTGTGGTAACGGTAGAATTTGAAATTTTTTTTCGGGCCATTTTTTTTCGGATTTATTATCGCGTATTTTTTTCAAACAAATCAACGTTTCGAACTTTCAGCATTACCTTGTCATGTTTGAAAAGACAAATATACGCGTTGAGCTAGATCGGAGGAATTTTTCTTTATGTTCAATCTTTATAAATTATGACAAATATACGTGATTTTGGATTGAAAAAAAGCTCAATTTCTAATTTACTATAAAGGTATATCTGTAAAATAGTAACAACCTCACAGATATTACTAACACCAAAAACAGCAATTTATGTTGCATGATTTTTAATAATTCATCAGATTTTACTTTCATACAAAAATAAATATATATTTAAGTAGATCGCTCTAAACGGTAATAACTCTGTGTAGGACTGGGGTGGGAGTAGTAGCGAAGGACGCTTAAACACGTTTCAATTTACTACCAAATACAGATCGAAAAAGTATCAGTAGGTACAACAAAAACTTACAAGTCTATTTTTGGTGATTTTATTATGTTTTTTAAAAAGTCATGGAAGGAAAGTTGTTGATTATGATGTTAGTAACATAGTCCTGCGAGGTTGTTAGTGTTTTTCTTTTATTTCATTTGTTTACATTTTTCGATGGACATTATAATAATAACGCACTCACTCAACATAGCCCCACACTAGGGAAATCTTGTGTCGCGGGTGCCATGGTCCTACATGTAGACAACCACAAATTACAC